CAAAGTTTCAGGAAAAAAGATTCTCTCTCTTTTTGTCCTGATCCATTGATATAAAAACCTGTCTGAAAATGAGCTGATCAGATTTTGGCCACTTTTATGATGTCATAAAGATGTTTTGGCTTGTGTAACCATTAGCCAATCAGCAACCAAGGTAACCCCCCCCCACCTTATCACCTGAATCTCCTCCTAGAGCACCATTGTGTTCTTTTTAACCAAATATCTCTCTGAGGGGCGTGGGGAGTGGCTCCTTATTTTCATCTAAAGTAACAGACAGAGAATCAGCACTTTTGAAACAGGGCTGAAACAGAGGGGATTATGGGATGCTGAATTGATCTGTTTGGTGTTTGGAGCTAAACACTTCAGAGACATGTTTTGTATATATCTGAGACCTATGATATATTGATGAAAAACAGTATAATAAGGGACCTTTAACAAATTACTCCATCCTCAAACTGAGTAGACCATGAAGGTCTTGTTTGCTTTCTCTTTGTGAGTGTAACTTAAAAGCTGCATTACGATCCTGAAGGTCAAAAGGGTTTCCTATTCTTACATAGTGTTCTTGCTGACTTGCTTCAGTAGGCCACTGTACAATCAACAACAATAGCCTACTGTTAGTAAAACCCACTGGTTAAAGTTTCAGTACAACTTTACAACACTTCACCAAGTCATCACACGGTTTAACAGTGGAGACACAATGCTTCCCTATTGGATAAACCGGAATAAAGCTGATGTAACAAAGTGTTACCGGGATTTCTTTCTCAATTGGATGTGGAGTCTGTCAGTTCAATGTTTAAGCTCCGGGAGGAAGAACAACTGAAGGGGTTAATGTAATCCATTTCATTGGTGGGGGACTCTAATAACTGCTCTCTCCCTGCGTCTCCATTGGCCCGCAGAGTTTCCATTGTGCTGGCCGGTGCAGGTGTGGGACATGCTTTGTTGGTCATAATCCCCCAGGCAAGGGGAGAGGCTTTGAGTGTGTTTGACGTACCCCACCGGCTGGCCCTTTGCTCCTCGGCCGCCGAGCAGCCACCGTCTCCAGCGGCCGCTCATGGGATCCGACAGGCGGAAAAATAATGAACAACACCTCAACCCGGAGCTGACCTGGCTTCAATTCACCAGCTCCACACGAGGGGTAAACGAACCACTTAATTGAGCCTTCCAGGATCAAATCAAACTCAGGACCCCCCCGAGCCACCCTGCGATCAACCCTCACCACCAGGCCCCCTATACTCCATCTCTGCCTTCCCGGACACAACCCATCAAGATGTTTTCCTACACACACACACACACACTCTCAATCTTCTGCTTCTTGACTGTTTCTTTTGTTTTAACAGTTTATGACAGAGGCTGGTAAACTAAACAACACAGATACTTAAACTGTGTACACAAAGAGTTCTTTTGATATGTAAACCATGATTTGTGGATAATACTTTGTACCCTTAAGTCACATTTTTAAACCCAAGACTTTACTTGGTCTAAAATATGGTATTGTGCTTAATACTTAAAAGGAGGATCTGAATGCTACCTCCACAGCTGTTCAAACCCCATTGTTGGAGTACATTGGGTCTATTTGATTCGCACATTAAGCAGTGATGTACAAAGTCACTTGAAAATGTATGAGTAGAAAAATATATATTTTTTTTATTTATTACAAATGTGACGTAAAAAAGGGTTCTCAAATATAAATAAATACCATTTTGTTTTTGGCCTACTTGCATTGCGTTTCATGCAGGTGACTGCAGCTCAACAAATTGGAAAATGCTTTTTTAATATGACCTAAGGATTCTTCTCTAACCTGCTGACCTAACCCTCTAAGAGTTGAATAAAGTAGATTTGAGTGTAAAGCTATCCATCATTTTCTGAGACTAAATCACAAACTGCAGCAGACAAAGCATCTCATTCCTCCCAGTTGAGACACCTGGGAGTCAGTCAGGGTCACTAGTCCATCAACAGGATGTGACAAAAACATGAACAGAGATACTCAAACAGTTTCTGAAACATCATTCAATTCTTGTTTCTCTTTTCCCCAATGTTGGATCTTATTGCTTTGGTAATAAAAAAATAAAAATCAGTCCGTTGATTTTAACATGATTGTGCTGAATGTGCACATATAAACAATGGAGCTAAATGGTTTTGGGATGTGAAGTTCAAACACAACCTCTTGCTCTGATTGAAACAAGCTTGACGTAAAGTTTGTCCCGGTTGCATTTTTTGAGAATTTTGCCAAAGCTTTTGTTTAGTCTTTTTCGACATTTAGTCAAAGAAATAATCTGAAAACAACAAATCATGATATAATTTGGCCCGTGTCCTGAAATGAACCAGTAGTCTGAAAGCACATCACTCTGCTGTCCTTATTTAACATCCCCGTCGGAGAGATTTGATGAAGTTGATCCCCGGCCCTTCACGTGAAACATGCTGACAGGACCGAACCGTTGCTTTCTGTGCGCCGTAAAATGCTTCTCATTAGCGAGGCGTCACCTGTCCTCTGTCCATTATCACAGGAACAATTTGGGTTAGGGGGTCCTGTGGGGTCGTTTAAGGACATGAGCCTTCAGTGTACAGTCACCCCTTGAAATGGCACCCAGCGTCCCGTGTTCATCCTGCTTCCCAGCCGGACCAACAATGGCGCTTTTCAAATGTCACCCGATCGAGCCTTGCGGGTGCCAAATTGGACGGCGTGCCTGATGTTCCAGGCGCAAAAGAAGGTGATCAAACAGATCCTGGGTCAGTGGATCCCCTCTAATTGAGAAGCTCACACTTGGCGGTGGGGTGAGGGGGGGTGCGTCCCATTCACAGGACAGCATTGGTGCAGTCTGCCAGAGTGGAAAAGTTTTGAAGCGCCTGTGCAAATTATGCAACCGATTTCAACATCGACAGTCAGATTGAGTCAGAAAATACAACCTTTTTTAATGACCAATACAAATATTAATTTTAAATGGTAACTGTCTTTATTCTGACTCCCTACACATTAAATGACAACAGTACTTAATGGCTACGAAGCATTATTTATGAAGAGACTCTAATTTGTAAGTCATAATGAGTAATTAAACGTGGTTCAAACAATAACTTGCATATAGACTCTTATTGCACTATTTCACTTTTTTAAGCTATTTTTCTTTTTGTATTTACTATTTACTCGCACTATATTTTTCTGTGTATCTGTGTTATTGTGTTGCACTGTTGGAGAAGCCTGTGACCTAAGATTTTCATCGGCATAACTACACTGTAGCTATGTTCGTATGACAAAATAAAGAACCTTGAACCTTGAACCTTGATGGTGTATTTGAATTAGGGCCAAAACAGACTTTCATACTATCATACTATCATATCAATTTCACGGCATGACACTGTAAGTACCTTGAACAACTGAATGGTGTGAATCATAAATTGTGACATCTAAATAAATGATACAATCATTGTCCCTAATCTGCAAGATGGGTGGCAAATATTTTCTGAGGGACTTTCTCGATGTGTCGTTCCTTTGCAGGAACAAAGCAAAATGGCCTCCTATCAATTTGGGGCAAACACTGTCGGAGAATGGAGACAAAAGAGATGTTTAAACCCCGTCGGGGTAAGGGGGATATCTTCACCTCTGTTCAGAGAGTCCCTAATTGATACATGGGGATTGGCGTGAAGGAGCAGGGACAATGGCTCTATTGTTTCACTGTTTTCTGAATCAAGATGTCGGTCAACTGCGGTGTCTTTGCAGGGAACTTGGCTCGGATCCAAACTTGAAATTTCTCCCTTGATTTTTGCCGAAGACTCTCCCGGCATAACACGTCTCCGCCTGTGCCAATAGAGGACATGTTGGAGGACACCAGCTATGATTTATTTTTCATAACAAATAAGATATATTCTCTGATAAAGGGATTGCCTCAAAGTTACCCGAAGTACCAAACAATTGTTGAGGATGTCAATTGTTGAGTTACATATATTTATTTAAAAATAAGGAATCAGGATATTTTTAATACAATTGTAATAGAGCAAAAATAGAGTTTCCTTGAGAAACATTTTCTATTTTCTGTGTTCTACCTACAGTACATAAATATGAATTTATTATTCAAATCTTTGCTCTCAATATGTCTCAATGTGTGTTTTCTTTTAGAAAATAATTCCCATTCTTGCAGGCAAAGATGACCCACTGAACGCTAAAGAAAAGGCGATTCATTCGAATTAATTAAACGGAAGTGTACAAAGCGAACCCTGTCCTCATTTCCCCCACTCATGTGTTATGAATGACAGGAAATTATTTAAAAAAAATGTATTGACCTGTAAAATAAATCATTGTTGAGATAAAAAATGTATTTCTCAATTTTTACAGAGATGCTCTTTTGACCTGCTATCATTCACAGGTATTTTGTCGTAACAGATTTCCTTTTGGGGGTCGACCAGTGTGCGTAGAATAGATCCCACTTCCCAGCAACAGTCAAACTAAGTAATACAAAATGTTAATTATTCTTTATATGTTTTATAGCAACAAGGTTGTCTTACTGGAGTAACCTGTAACATGTTCAAACACTAATCACTGATCTGTCAGAGAAGTAGACTTACTGGAATAAAACACAGGCACATAAACATTGTTGCAGTTGGAGGTGAACTTGGTCTTAAATCATCATAATGAAAAGTGTGAGACAGTACAGAGCTTGAAAAATATTAGACTGGATTATAAATACTGAGAAATGTAGTTGTAAAACCTGCTCTGTGATTTCAATTCTGCAGCAATAAAATATGTACTTGTTAACATGTTTCTGGAGAACAGGGTCACTTAGTTGACAAAATAAAATAAAGTGAAGGCCTGCAGAAAAAGAACTAACTCATGCAGCTATTCGTTGTTTTTACAGTAAGAGGCTACATTGAGCTGAAATGGAGTAGAAGTAATTCAATACGAGATTAAAGTAAATGTATAGTAATGCCTTCAAATGATAATGAAGCCCTTAATACACTGATGCCCTATTTGAAAATGACTCATGACAATACAATAGAGATCACATGATATTTATTTATAGTCACAGTGAAAACTGCCTGTAAGCTGTATGTACTGTATAAAGATTAAAAAAAAAGACAAAAATAGATACAAAAGCAATTCAATGATTGTCACACTGAATCCTGAGAGAAACCATGATATAGCATATCGTTTTTAATATATATAGATTTATGACATCTGAGTTTTAGTGATACTGTTTTCGGCGCATTTTTGTAAGCTAAAGTAATTCACTTCTGATTTAATCAAGCTATGTTCAGACAGTAGGGAACACAATGTCTATTAGCATAAATAGCATAAATAGTCACAAACTATTTTTCATAATTTACAAAAAATACACATTTATAAAGTCCACATGTATTTACAAGAGCCTTAGTGCTGTGGTTTTCATTCAACATGGAGGATATAAAAATAAGGCAAGCCCCATCTCGGATCATATTAGTATTAAATCAATGGTTACTGCATTTGGAAACTGTGTAAATGTACAGGTGAACCCTTCAGGACTCTGTCATCTCATATGATTGTTGTTTTGAGGTAAAGGCGGTCTCGCAAAGGCAACTTTGGCAGACTTGAGTTGAATATGAATATAAATAGTGTCAACACATGTAATCATTTGGCCACTCTAAAGTAATATGGACTAGATTTGGCAAAAATATCTAAGGATATTTACATCTTAAACATGATGAAGTAGCTTTGACTACAGGAATATAAACCCTTCCCATTGTATCCGCCCAAAAAATATTACAAAAGAAACCAAGTGTTCTGTGGTTGTCTTACTTCGCAAGTCGGCATTAATAGCAAAGTATGAGCTTTGATATAATAACAAAAAAAAGTGAAAAGATAAGTGCTTGTTTTTCCTTTTGACTTTCCGGCTCGTGTTTCCACAGTTTGAGTGCTTGTCAAGTTCAATCAAGTTTAGCTAAAATACTCTAATCTCTGTGAAGTGATCAGTGAAGGGAGGGTTGTGTTCATGGTGCAGAGAAGCAGCTTTACCCAGCATGCCCTCTGACCTCTCGGCTGTGTTTTTGTGTGTTTCAGAGGGATTCACCGTGCAGCAACGCCCTGGAACAGTGTGGGGAAGTTGTGGTGAATCAGCCCCTATAGCTCAGTCCCTTCTCGGGGGTAGATCAGGCTGTTGACGCTGAAGCTGTTGTAGAAGTGGCTGTTGAACTGTCCGCCCTGCCCGCCGCCAAACGTGTTGTAGTACACTCCACGGTTGAAATGCAGGCCCTCGCCATGCTCTGATGCCCCCGTATCCTGCCCTCCGTGGTTAAGGTGGTACGGGCTCAGGGCCGTAATGTTCCTGTTTGCCAGCTCGTTCACCAAACCAAGGGACCCCTGCCGGCTGGGGCCCCCCGAGCTGAGCGTCGACATGCTGCTGTAAAAGTTGTTAAAACACGGAGCGGCTGAGGACAGTCCGGGCGGCGAAGAGGACGATGAGCTCTTGTGGCTCTCGTTCATTGGCTCCATCTCCGGAGAGGGTGGCCCCAGGAGCTGAGGACTGTCTGAAGGCTTCATTGAGGGCCCCACCGCCGGCCTGCCGTCCTCCACTTTTGTGGCCCCCGCTGCCGCCGCTGCTCCTCCTGCACTGCTCGGATCTGAGCGTCTTTTCCGTTTCCTGCGAAAGTTTCCATTGTCAAACATCTTTTCACAGTTTGGGTCCAACGTCCAGTAATTTCCTTTTCCTGTAATTGAAGATGAAACACAATACATATTAGAACTTGATAATATCAGTATTCGATGGTGGAAGTTGTGGGGCCTTATACGTCTAATTGATATGCCATATATAAAATACAACAATATTTTTACTCTGGTTTTAACCTTTATAAGCTTTTTTCTGTCAAGATATAAATTAACAAACTGGTTCGAGAATTTTAGCAATCTGTCAGAACAAACTTCTATTCTTTATTTCAAAATTGATTTGAATTGTTATCAAATGTTTCTTTGAAGGCAGATTACTCTCTGCAGTCTATTTAAGGAAACAATAATTAATACATAGCACCTTGTCATTATAGTCCACAATCATGTACAGGTTAGGATTTAAAACTAAAATTCAGACATATTTTAGGACAATACATGCACAATTCATAGAAAAACAATACTTTAAATTCTGGAAAAACTTTTAAGAAAACACAATATACGTTTACAACATTTGAATGAATCTTTAGAAATATTGTACTTATTTTGTATTAGTTTATAATTGTACACTGGCTGCAATATCTACTTCTGTAATATTTTAAAAACGTGTTACTTTTAAAATAAATTAGAAGATTACCAGACAGAATCAATTTATGTTAGGTAAGTATTTTAAATGTATTTAGGAAAATGTAATGTAATTTAGTATTGCTAAGACTTTTTGGACCACAAGCATAATTATTAAGGCTAAACGAAAAGTATGATAACGTTTTCGTCATTTACATTTAAAAGATTTAAGTAATAACTTCACTGTAATTCTTCTTCCTAAATTACCCTCTAATTAAACCACTCTGAATCTCCCAGGTGATTAAACTGTACCCAAATGCAGCATATTTCACATGATAACATTTCCCCTGGTGCGTTCACTGTACCTGGATCGTCCTCGTCCCTCGGCACTTTCTTGAAGCAGTCGTTCAGAGACAGGTTGTGCCGGATCGAGTTCTGCCAGCCGGCTTTGCTCTTCTTATAAAAGGGGAAATTTTCTGCGACATACTGATAGATCTGACTCAGGGTCAGCTTCTTCTCGTGCGCATTCTGGATGGCCATGGCTATGAGCGCAGAGTAGGAGTAAGGCGGCCGCACGAGCTTCAGCAGCTCCTCCTGGCTGGCGATGGACAGCCAGCCCAGGTCGGGCCCTCCGAATCCAGGTGAGTTTGTTATGAACTGACGCTGCGAGCCGTAGGAGGGCGGGATGAAGGACGCCGGGTTGTTGCCGTGCAGGTAAGACGCAGAGGAGTTCACACCCGGTCCGTTGAGCCACAGGTACGGGTTTGGAGACGATGTGTAATCTCCGAGGCCGTATCCGGAGGGTCTCTGTGTGCCCTGGAGGCTCTGCTGGTGGTACATACTGCTGAAGTTATCGCAGTACACCGCGGCCATGTCCGGGGCCTCCTGGGCGCCTTTGGGTGGGAGAGAGCCGACGGTAGGGGAGGTGTGGTGGTGCTGGTGCTGGTGGTGGGACTGGGGGTCGATGGAGTTCATCACTCCCCGCGGGAAATCCCAAAGGAAACTGAAGCGGTTCAGGTGGTGCTCGCAGCAGCAACAAGTGTCAGGGAGGATGGAGGACTTGGGGGAGTTTTAATAGTATAAACCCTTGACAGCAGCCACATCCAGGCTCTAGATAATTCCCAGCAGCCAATAGACACACACTGAGTAACAGGGGGTGTGGTCATGTTCTACCTCAGCCACCAGACAGTGGGTCAGTGGTTCCCAAATGTTTCCCCTGTCAAAAAGTCCCGGAGAGTCACAACACACTGCTGCTGCTCTCATGTTCTCTGAGGGACTAATGCTGGGATCTTTAAACTTTAGTAAACAAAGACTGACTCAGACTGCAATAATAACTGTTATGATATCAGCTTTTTGTTTGTCTCACATGTGAAACTAAACAAATTCATCTTCAATGCTTACATTCTATCCAAAGTAAAGATGAAGATAATAAAAAGCTTTATACATTTAGGTAATAAAATATTGTGATTTCATATTCAACAGATAGTGTATGTATAGTCATATGGTTACTGTATCAGAAATGTAAAACACAATACTTCTCACAGACTGACACATTTTTTGATTATTATTCAGTTAAATGCCTCATGGAAATTGTAATGAGGAATATACAAATTGTCTAGATTTAAAAATACTGAAAAGCAAATTTATCCTTTAGCTGGTGGTTCAAAAAAAGGAATCAACCAAACTACAGAATACATTCTATCATTATTGTATTAACATTGTGTCAATTATGTATTCAGCGTACATGAAAAAGGCAAAATAGTCGCCTTGTTTTTTTCATATTCTTTTTAAAGGGAAGTGGTGAGTAGGTTAGTTCCACTGTATACATAACAAATAAAGAACCCAATAACCCTGAAGCACAAATGTGTTTATCATCCAAATAAATGATAGCTGTTTAAATAATACATCCCTATAGAATGATTGGTTTTAGTATAAACAAACACAACTCTACTCAACAGAGTTCATAATTGTACATTTGATTAGAGGAGAAAGTTGAAAGTTGTTCTTAATCCAGCTCTGACATGGCAGTATTATACAGTGAAGAACCAAAGAAAGAAGAAAAAAAACACTGCCGGATCACGGGACTCAACTAAACCAAACTGATGCCACTTTTGTCAATGTTTTGGTCTTCATTCATTAATGTTAAACTAAACAATTCAGATGTTAGAGAAACATCATATGTATAAATATACCTTTTTATAGTCAGTGAGGTCAGAGTTAAATGTTCATACACTCATACCTTGTCTTCTGATGGATCAGCCAAACTCATTGAACATTTTCTTAACAACCATAAGTCAAAGATGTATGTGAATTATAAACATTTAACAGCTTTACATCTATGGGTCTTTAAGTGACACAGAAGAGTGAGGGTGGAAAAGGGGTTAAGGTCACAAACTGCAGGACTGATGAGGAGAGTGGCAACAGGTGTGAAGTTGGGAGAGGATGTCAGTGAGGACATCTAGTGGAAGGTTGGAGGATGGCAGGTCTGGGGAAAGGGGAGGGTGGATGGGCTTGGGCAAGAGAGCAGGGAGACAGACAGCCTGGCTTTAACTAGAAAGTCCTCATGACGATGGGCCCCCCAGAGAACCTGTTTTGCACAGGAAATATACGTCTAATGATATGAGGCCCTGAACAAACAGTTAAAGGTCCCATGTCATGGCCATTTCTACTGATCATAATTCCATTGTTGAGGTCTACTAAAATAGATTTACATTGTGCAATTTTCCAAACTCACATTGGTTTCTCATACAGCATCTCTGTATAGTATGTGTATTCACTCTCTGTCCTAAACGGCTTGTTGGAGCTCCTGCCCCCCCCCGTGAGCACAGTGTGCTCTGATTGGTCAGCTCGCCCACTCTGTTCTGATGAGTCCACCACCGTTACAGCGGAACATCAGTGATTATGTGTTACAATGGCGTTAGCAACCAGAAAATGACATCAGTAATGACAAACAGATGAGAATGCTGCGTGGGGTCTGGGTGCCGTGTTGGCGGGACGTTGCGCGGCTTGCTGCTGCGAGGAGCGGACAGTGTGAGCTGGGTTACTGGTGTCATTTCCTGCTTGCTGCGAGACAGCGAGACATCGCGAATGGACGCGGGTGATGAGGGGGCTGCAGCACCCCCATCTGCGAGGCTCCACTAGCAACCGCACCGCATAACACACAAGGGGACGGGTAATAACCAGAAAAGCATGACATGGGACCTTTAATTAAATGGTAAACAAATCTAAATTCAACACACTCACACACAGAAGTCCTCTATAGGGCAGAGATGGGGCATCTTTTATAGAGCCTGAGAAGCCGTGGGTCCAGGTGTTGCACTGAGGAGACAGCCCCACCCACCAGTCCACCTGCAAGGGCACCTGAACAAACCAGTGACAAATCAACTGAACCCTATTATTAATATAAAGACGATATCTGAGTCAAACCAATTTGTCACCTGGTGCTTGATCACCTTTTTATTAGATAAATAATCAGTGTACATGTTGATTGACTGGCTTGGGATCATCATAATTTCCTCTAAACATTGTTCCTCCTTTAAAATGATTAATTAAACAAATGTACACTACATCAAGCAATTTAATCGCTACGACATTGGTTTCAAAATGCCAAACGTTTCCAAGTGCCTCATACATAAATTATAAGATTTATAGACTTCTTTATTTCATAAAACACATCTTTAACTTATTAAAAGGTTGCTTATCATAATCACGTTTTTAATTAGTTTGGTCCTATTTATGCAGAGATAAAGGTCCACCTTGAATTAGACTTTAAACTAATTTGGACTTACCTTATCAAATGAAGTTTATACTAATTATAATTTAGAATTACCAGACTTCCAAATTTAATTAGCGTTTTACCTTCCGCTGAGATTAAATGACTTGGAATCAGTCATAAGGACGCCCTTTGTAACTGCATACCATGTACATCTTATTTATATCTCCCTTGCTCAAGTATTGTGTGGTAAAGATGACTTGTGGAGGCACACTGCCCCCTTGAGCTTCTTTTAGTAGTATCGGCAATCCTTTAAATATTCAGGGTTGTTTTGTAGGATACAACATTCACCACAAGATGGAGGCAGCTCACTGCTCAGTGTGGAGTCTGATCTGACAGTGTAGAATCTGTAGATCAGGGGTGTCAAACTCAAATACACAGTGGGCCAAAATTAAAAAATCGGTACTAGTCGAGGGCCGGATTGGTTCAATGTTTATTGCAGAACTTATTGAAATGAACTTATTGCATATATTAAACCTGGAACTAACAAAGCTTAAATTATTGCCTATAAAAACAACATTAAACATTAAATAATCAGTTGCATTCATTTCTTATGGCTCTATCTGCAGAGTCATTTCTTAGTATTACATTTTTCCACAGGCCAACAACAGCTGCAAAAAAACAATTTCCCTCAAAGAAAAAAACAAACATGCCCTGTTGTCTCAAGGAAGAAAGTGCAGAAGGAAACATCCATTGAAACTCAGTTTGCTGCTCTGTGATGCACACAGGGGCGCCGCCAGGGATTTTGGGCCCCATGGAAAGATATCACATTGGTTACTTACATTTATTTTTCTTAACGTTCTAAAAATGTTTGGGCCCCTGTCAGTCACGGGCCCTTAGAATCGTCCTAACTTTTCACCCCCTTACGGCACCCCTGGATACACACTAAGGCCTCCTTCACACGGGAACGTTTGCGTTTATGCACAGTATGCGTATTCAAAAAAGTCTTCCGTTCACATGCATTCGTTTCATTTAACGTGTCTGTTCAAACGAGACCGCTGGAAACGCTGTAGTACATATGCCGGGACTGTAAGTGGCGCTGTAACTTCCGCCAAAATACACCAAAAGCAGCGAAGAAGAGCAGCCCAGAGCAGCCCCGCAGCAATGTTGCCATGGCTACCCTTCTGTTTATGCCCCGCGGTGTATTTAGCAACATGTAGTTCATGTAATTCTCCATGTCCACTTGTTGCTGATGGTTGTGGTAGAGGAGCTGTAGATGTTGCACTAACATCTGTAGCATGGTCAGTAGCAGTAGCACTAGCAGTAGCTACTGACAGGAGGAAGTGTGTGTGGCGATTGCTGGTATTCAGCGGGATATAGTAATTTCCTCAGCATATGGATAAATGCAACGGGGAAGTTAACTGAAAGAAACCGAATCTGTGGATATTGCATCGACCGACCAAGAAGCACGTCTCTGTGGAGAGGACGCGCTCAGAAAGAGAGATATTCTCTACAAACAACGGGTGAGATCGCTCCTCTGGGACACGCCGGTCCTCGTGTTTCCTTTTTTTGTGTGGATTATAAACATTTCTCTTTTTGCCGCCGACGGGCGCAGGAGAAACGAACAATAATGGCCTGGATTAGGCAGTAAAGACAAGTTTGGTGTATCGCAGAGCGGACTGTTTAATTTTGTTTGTGTTGTTTGGCTGGAAAATTGTCAATATAATGGATCAATGCATGAAATCTGACTCTGTTTATTTTGTTTAAGGAGTATATTGGGCGTTAACAATTCTGGTTTGCCTTTTATAATATTATTTCATTCAAGAACCCCTTGTGCGTTTAATTAACACAGCTATTTTTGATAGTTGCTACAGCAGTGAGCAGGAGAGGTGGGGAGAGGTGGGGCTATCGTTATTTTTTCATGAAATATTCGTATAGAGGTGATTACACGGACTCGGTTGACCCCCCAGAGCATTTCGTTTGCAAATCTATCCACCTTGGGACCCGTTATCGTTTGTGGGGTCAGTTTCTATCGGCCTCGTGTAAATAATAGGGCTATACGCACGCGAAACTATGCAGATACAAGCAGTTTTCTCCTCGTGTAAACGGCGCCTAAGTCAGATACTTAGCATCTCATCTTGGGTGCAAGTTCATCAATGTTTGGGGTCAGGCTCTGAGCTGAGGAAATCCTCAGGATTGAGTGAAGGTGTGCGTGCAATATACCGGTGGGCCAGATCTAATAGTAATTTAAAATTATCCTGCGGGCCGAAATTAAATCCACCAGGGGCCTGATTTGGTCCCCGGGCCTTGAGTTTGACACATGTGCTGTAGATCATGGAGCA